GGGTATCAGTTGTGTGTCCAGCTCCTGATTTAGGCTCAGGTCATGATCCCAGGGTGATGGGATTGAACCCCGAATCAAAGCTCTGTGCTAAGTATGGAGCCTGCTTTAGATTCTCTCCCTTTCCCTCCCTCCCTCCCTCCCTCGCTCTCTCTTTCTCATTTTCTCTCTCATTTTCTCTCTCCCCACCTCCCCACCCTCCCTCCCTCGCTCCTCCCACCCCCCTCCGTTCCTCCTCTCTTCTCCCCCACTTATACTCTCTCAAAAAAAAAAAAAAAAATTATTGACTCAGTTGCTAGATTATGAATCTCAATAAACCTGGCAGTTTAACATTTTTCACTTCAACCATTTATAAAGAATTTCATCATTTATAGACATCTCCTATGTTGCACTCCTTTGTATTGCTTGAGGAAATCATTAAACATTGTTAAGGCAATAAAACCTTGCTCTTTTTAAAAAAAAATTTTTTTTTTTCGTTCTAAAGCATTCAAAAATACTTAGTTGAGAAACAGCCCAGTTTTCTGATTTTCAGTTTGGGACTTATGTGTGAAATCTTTGCTCTTTTTTTAGCAAGAAATGTTAAAGTAAATATATATTTTCCTAATTAGCAGTCACATGAACTGCTTATAGTACTCCAGCTTTTTTTTTTTTTCTCCTGAAGGAAATATAGCCATCTGTTTTCAGTATCTCCAGTGGCCCCTCAAATTCAATTTCTGGTATTCCAGATAGCCTGTACTATTTTCACTTTATCTTAAACATTGCTTTCTAAATGTGATGATTTTTCATGATGGAATAAAAGATAGAGTTTTAATTTTATTTTTAGTAATTCATTTAAACTTCACACAGCCCTGTAGTATGTCTTGTCTTCAAATGTTTTAAGTTAGTGAGTGTCATACTCAGCTGTCAGGAGGCAGAGTTGGGAGCCTATCTGCAAGTCTTCAGAATTTAAATATTTATGTTTGTTTTTTTCCACATAACCAATCTTTGAATGGCTTTTTGAGATTATTCACGGTAGGTAAGAATTAACGCTATGGGATCTTATTTATTTTTTGTGTATCTTTTTTAAAATTTATATCTGCAAATGACAGTGCTAGAGTATAGGAGATTTTTGTGAATTGTATGAATACATATACATACACCTAATCTTTTGGCTCAGGGATTGCTCCAGGCTCTCAGTTTCCTGCCAGTAGTTATGGAACTTTACTCTTGTTAGTGTCTCTTAACATCCTTCCTGTTTATATAAATTTGGGGTTGTCTGTATTTGGCTTTGACCTGATACTTCCTTGGGACTCTGCTTCCCCTGTAGCTCCCTCTGCTGCAAGTACTGCAGCTACTCTGCGGTGCTCCTTTATTCTCATTCTTTATGTCCTGTGAGTGATTTCTCCCTAAGCAAAACAGAGTGGTTTTATATAAATCTGCCTGATTGTTTGGTTGATATTTTGCCTGGCAGATTAATTACATATTTTCGTGGCGCATATAGCATAGTTTATTACACCACTTGTATCTTTTTTTCTCTTTTGCTCCAGATTCATTTACTTTTTTGTAGTATATATTATTTAGTTTTTAGTACATTTTTTTAAAACCCTGAAACCTAAAAAGTTGCATCAATTCAAGTATGACTTTTTTTGTAGAAGTCCCATGAAGATCATAAAAATTGAAACATTACCTTGTAGAGGGAGAAATGTTTACAATGTATTATTAAGTGTAAAATCATCAGGCTACAAAATGGTATGGTAGCTACTTTTGTGCTCTGATACACATATAAAAAATAAACTTTCTGCAGAAAACTTGGATAAAAATCCTTACCCCCCAAAAAAAACCTGCTAATAAAAATCCCTCCTAATTACCACCTAGAGATAATCATTGTTAATTTTATAGTATATATTCTTTCATTTTTCTCTATGTGTGCCTGTAAAAATTACATCTCTACATAGATCGATGTAATAAGATGATAAAAGCCCTCTTAAAGCAAAAGTTTGACAGACCTGACTTTACATAACCTTTAAACTTAGTAATATACAAAATACTGTAAGAAAAATTTTCTTAAATGCAGGGACAATATGGAAGAAATATTTGTAACATATCAATCGAATGCAGGAAGTAACTTAGTTTTTTGTATATCATTGATTAGCATCACCATCTATCATATCATACTAGTCAAGACCTTCAATTTATCCTAGATACCTTCCTCACACTCCCTTCTCATTTCCAACTGATCTCTCAGTATCTCCTGGGCATCTCTGGATTTACCCATTTGTTCCATTAAATTCAAGCTTCCAACATAATTCTTTTGTACTAACTGTGGTAGCTCCTTAACTGATCTGCCTACTTTGATACTAAATTCTAATTCATTTTTCGTATTGCACAAAGTGATCTTTTTGAAACACATTCCTTATCATAGACTGTCTTAGAAAAATAGACACTCATTGACTCTGTGTGTGTGTGTGTGTGTGTGTGTGTGTGTGTGTGTGTGTGTGTGTGTTTGAGAAGTACATAGAGATTGATATATTCTTTCAGAAAAATGAACCAGGCCGTTGTAGACCATACATACTTACTGTCACAGGGTTATTTGGTGCCTTTTATTCTCTCTTAACCTGGAACACACTTTCCTTCCGTACACCTACATATTCTTCAGAGAATCCTTTCCTGACCTCACTGAATCAGATTATCCTATTATTTACTCTTAGACACCACAAAATTCTCTGTTATCAGACTTACCAAAATTTTACAGTAATCTAACTCTTTGAATAATCTCTTTTACTGGACTGTAAGCTCTTTGAAGAAAAGGCCTGTTTTTGCTTACGATTGTATTCTTGGCATGTAACATAGTACCAAGCACCTACTAGACACCTGTCTTAGCTTTGGGTAGGATAACAAAATACCGTAGATTAGGTAGCGTAAACAACAGACCTTTGTTTCTCATAGTTCTAGAGACTCCGGGGTTCAAGGGTAAGGTGCTGGCCAATTCTGTGTCTGGTGTGAGAGTCCTTTCCCTGCCTTGCACATGGCTGCCATTTTGCTGTGTTCTTTATGGCAGAGAAACAGTGAGCTGTAGTCCCTTATTCTTCTGTAAGAACTGTAATCCCATCATGGGTGCACCACCCTCATTATTTCATCTAAGCCTAATTATTTACCAAAAGTCCCACCCCGCTAATACCATCACATTGGAGGTGAGGATTTCAACATGAAATTTGGGGGGATACAAACATTCAGTCTATAAAAGCACCCCATAAGTATTTGTTGAATTAATGAACACATTAGAAATACAAGCAAAAGATGTAAATAAATTCACAAAAGGAGAAAATACAAGTGCCAGTAAACATATCCGAATATTTTCAACCTCATGTGTGATCAGGAAATAGTTTGGTCCCCATCATGTTGGGAAAATTTTTAAAGATTGATAGTGTTAAGTGTATATTCAAGAACATGTCCATTAGGAGGACAGTATGAAAGAAAAGTATGATTCAGCCATACTGCGGAATATTTTTCAGCTATTATAATACATTGGGTTCCTGTGCACTGAAAATAATCTCATTAGGGGGCGCCTGGGTGGCGCAGTCGGTTAAGCGTTCGACTTCAGCCAGGTCACGATCTCGCGGTCCATGAGTTCGAGCCCCGCGTCAGGCTCTGGGCTGATGGCTCGGAGCCTGGAGCCTGTTAACGATTCTGTGTCTCCCTCTCTGTCTGCCCCTCCCCCGTTCATGCTCTGTCTCTCTCTGTCCCAAAAATAAATAAACGTTGAAAAAAAAATTTATAAAAAAAATAATAATAATCTCATTAGTTTTTGTCTTACAAAAAGAACCTCAAAAGTGACTCTGTATATATGTTTACATACACACATATAAACTCATAGTAAACTTACTGGAAAAAATATAGATAATGTTTATCTCTGGTGAGGGAACATAATAGTAGAAGGAGAAATATAAAGTTACGAGTTCTTTTTTCCTTTTTTTAAAACTGGATTTTTTTTTGTTTTACTATTTTTACAATGAGAATATTTTTATAGTCATGAAAATATATATATGAGTAAGAGTTAAGGTGGTTAGGGACATAGAGAAAAAAAAACCATTCTTTATATATAGAAAAGTAAAATCAGGAATGCCAAAGAAGCATAGTTTAGTCTGGCATTATGAGCAGTTCCATATTGTTGGAACTTAACGTGTGGTAGAGTATGGAAGAGAAATGAATCTGAAAAAGAAGACAAAACCAGATCATTGAGGGTCATGTATGTTTTCTCTTAGTATGGTACAACTAAGCCACGATCTTTTAAATAGGAAATTGACCCCAGTCATTTTAAATAGGTGACTCTGGGTGATGTATAGATGACACAGTGGAAGAGATTCCTAACCTTTTTATATCTGGATCCCTTTTGTCAGATTTGATGACGCCTGTGGTTACTTTTCTCAAGATTGTATTTTGGATGTATAAAGTAAAATACAAAGTGCATCGAAAACCACTTATATTGGATTTCATTTATCAAAATATTAGAAAACACATTTATGGTATAGTTATATATATGCTTGTTTAGTAACACATTAAACAAAGAGACCGATACTTTAATTTCAAAACTGTGCTGAGCATAAACAATATTTTAAGATGTATGCATCAGTTCAGTGGCCTTCTGATGGTCTGTCAACCCCAGGTTAAGAACTGTGGGATATGGCATGAGACTGGGAAAATGGAGATCAGTTAGGAAAGCAGTCGATATGGAGATCATGAAAAATCTTAGTGGAGGTCATCTGAACTGATCTTATGAAAGACTTTCTAATTATCATTAAATGTTAACATTTTTGTATTAGTAAAGCAATAATGTACATTATATAAATATTAGGAAATACCAATTTAAAACAGGAAAACATGTTCTATGGTACTTTTTTAAAACTTAGTATATCTACTATCCTTGGTTCTTATTGTTGCTCTTACATAGGAATTTTCCTCATTGGTTATGCATTTGGTCTTAATGATACCATCATTGCTTAACTGTCTTCTCTTTGATTTTACAGATTTTTGATTGGTCAGGGAGCACATGTAGGAGCTGTCAACAGTGAAGGAGATACACCATTAGATATTGCTGAGGAGGAGGCAATGGAAGAGCTACTTCAAAATGAAGTTAATCGGCAAGGTAATATAAAAGCAACCTAAATGGAAGAAATGTTTAAAACTCTTTTAGGAAGAATATGGTACTTGACTTTTTCAATAATTTTTGATATTGAAGGAGAAATCATAGTTTTAGTAGGAAAAAAATCACCTTCCATAACAATATGTAGTATGAGTCTATTTGAAAAAATAAATGATTCTCAACTGTACATCTTTTTAATACTGTTAAAATTGAAAAAAATATCATAAGGTGTAGGATCACACATAAAATTTTATGGTAATAAAAACTTGGGAGAGAAAATAGGTAAAGAGGGTAGGGAAATGCACAGGGTGAGGAGATACATTGCAAATTTAAATAGAGCGGTCAAGAAGTCCTCACTGATGAGTGGGTATTTAGGCTAAGATCTGAATAGGTAAGGGAATGAATCATGTGAGTCTGGGAAAGAACATTCCAGTTAGGAAGCAGCAAGTGTAAGGAGGGGAGGGTGTATGGTATATTTAGAGAAAGAACAAGTAAGCTAGTATGATTGAAGCAAGCAGCACAAGGAAGAGGCTGGAAGATGATGTCACAGAGGTAACTGTGAACCAGATCACATAAAGCTTTGTGGGCCATTGGAAGGACTTTGGCTTTTAGTCTGAGTGAAGTAGGGAGCCTGTGAGGAATTGAGGTAAAGGAGTGACATGATCTGACCTACTTTAGAAAGGATCTCTGTGACTGTTGTGTTGAGAATAGATTATAGGAGAGTAAGGGCAGAAGTAGGTGGTTATGATCAGACTTATTTTAGAAAGGATCTCTGTGGCTTTTGTGTTGAGAATAGATTGTAGGAAAGTAAGGGCTGAAGTAGATGGTAGTGAACAAAGTGAAGAGAAGAGGTTAGATTTTAGATGTATTTTGAAGGTTTGGCTAAGAGGATTATTGAGTGATTAAGGGGTCTGGTATGCAAGAAAGAAGGGGTAAATGAGATGTGAATATTGTGGGGGAAGTAGGGTTTGTGGGAAAAGTTTAGGGATTCATTTTCAGATTTGCCAAGTTTGTTTTGCTGATATTTAAGCAGTTGAATATGTGAACAGAGAGAGAGAGAGGCTAAAAATATAAATTTAGTAGGAGACATCAGTTTATAGATGAAGAAGGATTGTTTATGGGTAAAGTTTTGTTTAGGAATAATGAGTGTTTTAAACTGATGATGGTAATAGTTTTACAACTCTGCAAATATACTAAAAACCACTGAATGGTGTCCTGTAAATGGTGTATGAATTGTATCTTGAGATATAATATATAATATGTATATTTTATATGTATATATAATATCTTTATATATAATCTAGCAAATCCTTTTTTTTTTTTTTTTTTTTTTTTTTTTTTTTGAGAGAGAGAGAGTGAGAGTTAGCAGGGGTGGGGCAGAGAGAGGGAGAGAGAATCCTAAGCAGGCTCCACCTCCAGCAGGGAGCCTAACGTAGGGCTTGATCTCACAACTGTGAGAATCATGACCTGAGCCGAAACCAAGAGTGGGACACTTAAGCAATTGAGCCACCCAAGTGCCCTGTAGCAGTTCTTTTTTTTGGGGGGGGGGGAGGGTATATAGTCAAAAAGTTAAAAGGAAGGTTTCAAAAGATATTTGTGCACCCATTTTTATAACAGTCTTATTCAAATAACCAAAAGATGGAGGTAAACCAGGTGTCTTTCGGTGGGTAAGTGAATAAACAAAATGTGGTTATGAACATACAGTGGACTATTATTCACTAAAAAGGAAATTCTGATACATACTGTAGTATGGATGAACCTTGAGGACATTATGATAAGCAGAAAAAAGCCAGTCACAAAAAGACAAATACTGTATGATTTCACTTACGTGAGGTACTTCAAGAGTCAGACTAATAGAAACAGTGAGTGGAATGATGGCTGTTACAAGGTGGGAATGGGGGTGGTTGTTTAATGGGTGTAGCATTTCAGTTTTGCAAGCTGAAAAGAGTTCTAGAGATGGGTTGCACAAAAATGTAAATGTACTTAACACTACTGAACTGCATACTTAAAATTGTTTATTAAGATGGTAAATTTTATGTGTATTTTTTTTTTTAATTTTTTTTTTTCAACGTTTATTTATTTTTGGGACAGAGAGAGACAGAGCATGAATGGGGGAGGGGCAGAGAGAGAGGGAGACACAGAATCGGAAACAGGCTCCAGGCTCTGAGCCATCAGCCCAGAGCCCGACGCGGGGCTCGAACTCACGGATGGCAAGATCGTGACCTGGCTGAAGTCGGACGCTTAACCGACTGCGCCACCCAGGCGCCCCATTATGTGTATTTTACCACAATTAAAAATTAATATGTATGGGGCACCTGGGTGGCTCAGTTGGTTAAGCTTCCACCTCTGGAATTTGGCTCAGGTCATGATCTGGTTCATGTGCGGAAGTTTGAAGTGCAGAACCTGTTTGGAATTCCTCCCTCTCCCCCTCTCTCCCTGCCCCTCCTCTGCTTGTACTGCCCCCCTCTCTCTCCAAATAAAATAAATAAATTTTAAAAAATTAGTATGTACTGCTAAATAAAATTAGTGTGATTTCCACCAAAATCCATTGTTTAGGCAGTGGTTAAATGAGTATTATCAAAAAAAGAACTCTTTTTTAACACCTTACTTTAAGGTGTTAAAAGTATGGGATATTGGTTTAGAAGGTTGGCTCGTGCTGAAGTGTCGTTCATCATGAAATAGAAGCAAAGGAGTAGAAGCTAAGTTAGTCTCTGATAAAGAGATTTTTATTCCTTGGGATTAGGAAAATTCGTAACTACTAAATGTTTAAAAAAATCTTAAGACACCGAAGCTGAGAGGGTATTTAAGTGCCTAAATATACTTGAGGCATTTTAACAAGCAGTTGAAGATCCCCTGGAGCCCAGGAGAAACAGGGCACACATTAGATAAGTAATTATAAACTGGAACTTGGATAAGAACACAGAAGAGCTTTTAACAGGCATGTTCTATTCTAGGCAGTGTTCTGGAATAATGGGATATTCAGGACTTGAGGAAGTTGGACAAATAGAGACAAGCATCACAACCTATAAAGAATACTACCTTATCAGCCCACCTGGCTGTGATGAATGCCTAGTTAGATAGCTCACCATTTCCTGTTAAACAGTAGTTAAATCTTTTTATACTAATATTAGTTAGTAATTATTATGAACTAGGAAAGGCATGGAGATGTACTGAAAACTTCTTGCCTTTGGTTTCCTTATATATGAAGGAAGCTGTTTGCAAAGACTAATTTTAATTACAGTGATTTCAGTGTTGATTAATGTGCCAGCAAATGTTCTGAGTGCTGGGTATTAAAAAATAACAGGGGCACCTGGGTGGCTCAATTGGTTAAGCGTCCCGACTTCGGCTCAGGTCATGATCTCATGGTTTGTGAGTTCGAGCCCACTAACAGCTCAGAGCCTGGCGTCTGCTTCAGATTCTGTGTCTCTCTATGAACCTGCCCTGCTCCTGCTCTGTCTCAAAAAATAATAAATGTTAAAAAAATAATAATTAAAATAAGAAACAGCAACAAATAAAGAAACAAGACAGTCTTTACTCTTAAGAATTTCACAGGATAGCAGAAGTGTCAGATATATAAACAGCTTCAAAATGTAGTGTGCTGTGTGCTAAAATATAGATAGGGACAAAATGTGGGAGAACAGAAAAGTCTATGAGTAACTACTTGCAGTAGTCAGTAAAGGTTTCAGATTGATGACATTTGAGAATGAATTTGCTTAGCAGAGAAAGGAGTTGGTGGACAGAAAAGGCATGTCAGGCAGGCGTATCAACATGTGCAAAAGAAAAGGAATTGGAGATATAGCATATGCAGAGAACACATGAGAATTGGAGTGGAGATAGAAAGTCAGAATGGAGTAGATGAGTAGTAGATGAGACCTGAAAAGATTGGGCTGTAGCCAGATGGTGAAGGACATCCATTTTATAGGCATTAGATGCATCCAAGATCTCCAAGAAGGAAATGAGCCTGATTAGATTTGGTTGTTAGTAGTACAGCTGATGGCACTTTGGAGGATGATTTAGAATGGGAAATACATTGTGGCTTATCTTCCTTGAAGAAGGCTCTTAAATTGGTTCTGCTGAAAGATGATAAGGACAAAGCAGTTACATTTAAGATAGAAAAGAGCAGGGCTGTCTTGATATTAAGGTAAAATTAAAACATTTTGATGAAGAATTGAATGTGGAGATAAAGGAAGAATTGAGGCCACTTGTTTGCCTCCTGAAGTTTTTAGTTTAAGACTTAGTGATAGTTAGGGGCACCTGGGTGGCTCAGTCAGTTAAGCGTTTGACTCTTGCTTTCAGCTCAGGTCATGATCTCGCAGTTCGTGAATTCAAGCCCCGCATTGGGCTCTGTGCTGACAGCACAGAGCCTGCTTGTGATTTTCTCTCCCTCCCCTGTTCACCTGCCTTCTCTCTGTCTCTCTCTCAAAATAAATAAACTTTAAAAAGACACCCCCCCTTAAAAAAAAAAAGAATTAATGATGGCTAAACTCATATGGGAAAATGTGGGACAAAGCAGGAACAGATTTAGAGAGTATGTGAGTTTGGGGATATATTGAGTTTGTGGCAGCAAAAGGACATCCAGATTACATTGTTTGGTACATTTTTGGAACTCAGGAGATACCAGGATGGAAAAATGTAAATCTGGGAGAATAATAGATGAGATGACCCTGGAACTGAACAGTGAAAAGCTAACGCTAATAAGTCTGATTATGTATGCCAGGAATTGAGCAATGGGCTTGATTTCATTTCATCTGCACAATTCTCAGAGATTACTACTACTATTACCCCCATTTTACAGATGACAAATTGAGGCTCAGTGATTTGCCAAAGATCATATGGGTGGGAAGTAAGTACTGTAGTTTAGTCCCAAATAGTGTGACAGGTATCTTGAGCCCACACTCTCCATCACTAGCATACTGCATTTTATTAAGAGTGTCTCCTAGAAGATACTTCATGATGTTCATTTTATTCATGTAATGGGAATACATGAATTTCTATAGCATAACTTTATTTCAGAGAAACAAAATGAAGGGATAGCTCTAATAATAGATTTTAATAATTTTAAAAAGAGCACCTTAAATATACCTCTTGCATTGATAAGATTACTCAAATTGTTTATCCTGCTATGTATTTCATATTTTAAATTTTCTAATTCTTCCAGCTCTAATTCCTCATATAATATATTTGATCAGTAACTAGTCATCCTTAAGGAAATTGCCTTTGACACTAGAAATGATTTGTGGTGCCCCACTGGCACAGTCAGAGCATGCAATTCCTGATCTTGAAGGTTGAACAATAGTTAAAAGTATTTCTGGTTTATATTTTAATGCAATTGTCTGTATTTAGCTTGGGACACAAGTCAGTCTTGTGTCTCTTAGCTGTGACCAAACTCCAGTTTATTCTTATTTTTTCTTACCAAGAGATTTGGCTACGTTTCAGTCTTACATTTACTGGTTTTCAATACTAGTGACAGATGTTAATCTCATCACTTTATTATATTATATCCAATTTAGTTTTGATACATATTGTTTTCATTGTTCAAAAATCTTGCATTTATAGTAGGTGGGCTAAGGACCAGGTAAATGCATTATAGGATTTTCTTTCTGTTAGACCATAAAGCAAGGAAAGAGAGCAGAATCATAGGCATTTAGAGCTGCTAGTGATAGCTGCTAGCGAAGCACCTGGGTGCTTACTTCTGATTTAAGCATTTCACATATATTAATTAAATCCTCACAACAACCTTGTAGGATAGGTGCTTTCATTACCTCTTTTTTACAATTCAGCTGAATATTAGCATAGATTTAAGTGTCTTGCCCCAAATAATAGAGCTAGTAAGTCACAGATAAGGGATTGAAACCCAGCAGTCTAGGTTCAATATCCGTGTTCTTAACTCATTCTACTAATATTCAAAGAAGTTATGGCTTTTTCAAGGTCACTAGCTACTTAAAACAATGGAACTGGAAAACAAGTAATATGTACTATAATAAGGGCTTCTTTTTTTCCTTCTTTCTAAATTTTAATGAACTAAAGCAGGGTCTATATCAGTAGTATTTAAAAAAAAATTTTAATATGACCGAAGAGTTTTTCTTTCTAACTAGATTTTCTTAAGCATAAGAAATTTCCCTTCACACATACTTTAATTTTAAACTTGAGTTGTTTTGTTTTTACATAATATTCATATAAGAGCATGATTTGGAAGCAGAAAAAAGGTAATTGCTTTGCAAGTAGCTAAGGATAGCATGAAATAAGATAAATTGAGAAAGATATTTTTTAATTTCAAGTTCAGAGGAAATTTAGAATAGTAAAAGATAATATAAATGTTCAAGATGGCAAAGACAAAAATGATAAAGATAATATAAGAGGTTCATGTTTTAAAAGAGATAGTAAAAGAATAAAGCATGAGGAAAATCATTTAGTAAAAAGGTTATATTTAGGGGCAGCTGGGTGGCTCAGTTAGTTAAGCAGCTGACTCTTGATTTCAGCTCAGGTCATGATCTCATAGTTCCTGGGTTCAAGCCCCATATCAGGCTCTGTGCTGACAGTGTGGAGCCTGCTTGTGATTCTCTCCCTCTGTCTCTCTCTGTCTCTGTCTCTCTCAAAATAAATAAATAAACTTTTTAAAAAGTTTATATTTAATGTATTACAGTTACAACTTTATAATTTCTTTTCTGAATAACAGTAGAAGGCATCTTAAATAAGATGGTTACAGGTCAGTAATAGTAGTAAAGTGTGGGATATAGGACATGGAGTAAGATGGTGATGAACTAAGATACCATCAAGAAGACAGTCTGAGATGGCAACTCAAAGTCTGAACTAATTGGTAAAGTGGTAAAGTGCTGGGTAAGTAGTGGTACTTGGTATAGTAAATATAAGACAGGGAGCAAGCAGACTGGCTAGGGAAATTGAGTTAAGATTTTAGCATGAAGTTTCAGATACCTATGGCATATAATTTTATTATAGTATTTGCCCATCTTGACTCTTTCTGTTCTCCAAGCACAGATAATCCAACTGACAACTTGATATCTCCAATTAGATGTCTGTTAGGGCATCTTAAACTTCACATTTCTTATATTTAAAATTTAGTTTTTCCAGTTGCTCAGGCGGAAAACCTTTGATTCATACTTGACTTTTGTTTCCTACATGCACACTAACAACAAATTGTGTTGGTGTACCTTGAAGAATCCAGAATCTAACCCCTTTACTAACCTTCACTGCTACCACCCTGGTTTAAACTCTGTCATCTCTTGACAGAATTGTTGCAGTATCCTCCAATTTGATACCTCAGTTTCTTCTCTTAACTTTTCAGCTTAAGTGATCCTCTAAAATTAAGTCAGATTATATCATTCTGCTCTTTGTTCTCATTACTTTGTAGACATCCTGGCCTTCTAAACAGAAGAATGTTCCAATCAGGCTTCTGTGTCGAGCCTACTAGGACTTCCCTCGGTCTGGAATGTCGCCCAAAATATATAGTGTACCTATCACTCTATTTTTGGTGTAATGTCACCTTATCAAAGAGACTGTTCTTTACCAAACCTTATAAAATAACAGCTTTTTCTCATGACCCTCTGGCCCTTTACTGTGCTTTATTTTTCTTCACATATGTATATCTCCTTCAATATAATGAGTTCACTTCTATCCCCAGTAAATCTTATAAAAGCACCTGACATCTAGTAGGCAATCAGTGCATTTTGAATGGGTGGGTGATTGGATAAATGGATCAATGAAAGAAAAAAGTCCTGACTAGACAGTTGGATACATGGATATGAATTACAGGAGAGTTCTTAGCTAAGGAGGTGTGTGGGTGTGGGGTGTGTGTGAGATTGTTTTTACTCATTTATTCATTATTTAGTTAGTATACATTTACTGACCCCTTTTAATTTGTGTTAGGTCCTCATCTAGACAGTGAGAATACAAAATTAAAAAAAATAGTATTTTTACCTTTAATAGTTCGTAGACTTCTGGAGCAAGACATACTATAAACACATTGTGGTATGTGTTGTTTATTAGCCGGCAGTTGAAGCTATGAGACAACATGAGATAATTTAGGAATTTCAAGATTATCTTTTCTATTTTTTTTGTCAGGATTTTTTTTAAAGCTAAGAAAGAAGTAGAGTGTCCTATTCCTTTTTGAATTCTTCCCATCTCAACCTAACTTCATGCTTAATAAATGCTTTTAAATGAATGAACATCTATATAACTTAGTAAAATTATAATGCTGATACTAATAGTGAAAATGAACTGTGCTGGAAAAGGAAAGAGTTTTATAAAGAATCTGTTTCAAAGTTTGGTAAATTTTAGATAAAAACAGGACCACCAAGTTGAAGTGTTCAATCAACATTTGTACTTAGTAGGGTAGAGTTTAGAGAACTGGCCAAAGCAGATAGATCGGAATTTAAGGCTTAATTATGTATGGGTTTTTTCTTAATTTCTTAAAACTAAAGGATGAATATACCTAAGGAAATATTCAAATTTTTTTTTAAAAGGATTTGTTGGTAAAAGGAAAGCCAAAATAATATTTGTGGGGTAAAAAGTAAATAATCAGTAGAGAAGGCTAATAAAATATCTACAGCTTTCCCACATTTTTTTTTTTTTTTTAATTTTTTTTTTTTTCAACGTTTATTTATTTTTCGGACAGAGAGAGACAGAGCATGAACGGGGGAGGGGCAGAGAGAGAGGGAGACACAGAATCGGAAACAGGCTCCAGGCTCCGAGCCATCAGCCCAGAGCCCGACGCGGGGCTCGAACTCACGGACCGCGAGATCGTGACCTGGCTGAAGTCGGACGCTTAACCGACTGCGCCACCCAGGCGCCCCACCACATTTCTTTATTTAACTAGCTTGTTAATTAGCAGCCTATTTTTGAAAAAAATATACTTTAACTTTTAATTTTTATTTAAAACTTGATATCTTTCGGGTAATTTTATTTCCCACAAAGGAAGAACATTTTCTATAAAGAAAAAAATAAAAGCAATTTTTATTTTATCAGGGGTTGATATAGAAGCAGCACGAAAGGAAGAAGAACGGATAATGCTTAGAGATGCAAGACAATGGCTAAATAGTGGTCAAATAAATGATGTCCGGCATGCAAAATCTGGAGGCACAGCACTTCACGTTGCAGCTGCAAAAGGCTATACAGAAGTTTTAAAGTAAGTATTGTTTTTCATAGTCCTATTTCTACTTTATTTTTCTTATTTCATTGTTCCTTTTCTTAAGATACTTGCAGACATTATTTTGAAACAGTTTATAAAAGTTATTTAATGTCTATTTACATGAAAAAGAGAAAACTACCTTGAACATTATTGCTTTGTTTCTAAAGCCCTTTCTTTTCTCTTGAATTTTGATTATTCTACTGTTTTTTTCTTTGGTTGTAATTTCCCAATAAGTTAAAGCATCAGGCAACCATTATGTGTTAACTTCTGGGCTGATAAATTACTACAGAGTCATTTTGAGGTTCCCAGAGTGACTAACTCTGGTTACTGAGACTAAGAACAGTATTATGTTATAAACATATCAAATTCACAAAGTTTGATTCCTGGTGAGTATTTACATGTAATTTATCTAAAATGCAGTTTTCTTTTTACTGTGTAACACTGGGACTCAGAGTGCTTTTAGCATAATATTAAATATCAAGACCTAAGCAACTGAGATTTTACAGGGCTATATACTGGTCAGCAAATTTCATTGAAACAAAACTCCTTTATGTCACTATAAATTTTTTTGTTTTCCTTTTTTTTACTTCTGCAACGCAAAGGTGTTATCAGCTATATGAAAAAAATAATGCTGTGTGTAACTTTTATTAGATGTATGTGAAAGGAAGTAAGACTAGCCCTCGGCAAAATCTTCTACACCCTTTATATTATGTTTGACAAGAGTTTCTAATATCAGTCTGTTCTTATTCCCCCTGCTCAGTAAAAACAATGAAGTGTAAGTGGGTCAGCTATTCCCAAGTTCCTCCTTTTTTCAATCCCTACTTACTTCAATAACTGAAGCCTTCTAGAATAGTGAAGTTAACTTTTAATTACTTTTCTTGTCCCCCTGTGTATTTCTCTCTAATCCAAAATGTAGCAAACTTTCAGACCCCAATAGCAGGTCATGAATGAACCTTAGTGACTTGACAACAGCATTTTTTAAAGGAAAAATTGAAACCATTAAGAATATTACAAATAGTAAAGGTAATACTTTTTAAGTAGTAGATTGCACCGTAAAATAGTTTTCTAGACAGCTCTAAGGGGTCTTTGTAATTAGGTTATGTAGGCTCTTAAAATTCTTTGTGAAGATTCTCAATGTGGATTGGGATATATTTTAAACTCCTCAAATTAGTACATAAGACCATTAGTCATCCTCTTTTAAGCTAAGCTGCTACCATTGCTCCTCAGGCATGCATTATCCAACTATATATATCTAATTGAAGTTCTGTCATGATGTCTTAATGCCTACTTTGTTTCTGTTTAGATACCTTCATTCACCATCTCTTCAACTTGGAGGCAAATTCCATTCGATCCTTTGACTAAGTTCAAGGCTCTTAAGCCTATGAAAAAAAAAAAAACACTCAACCTTATTCATAATAGGTGCAGTTGAAGCTACAATGAATTACTGCCACTTTTCATCTATCATATTGGCAAAGATTAAAATGTTTGGCACACTGTTGGCAAGATTGGGGAAAAAGCACTCTCACATTACTGGTGAAAGTATGACAGTTGAGCAGATTTTATCAAAGTATCAGTTATTCTTTGGCTTAACAGTTAGCTCTACCTCTAGAATTTTTTTTTTTACAGATATTCTCACAGGAAATAAGGTATGTGCTAATAGCATTGTTTATACTAGGAGTAGGAGAATGTTGACTAAATTCTGATACATCCTTTGACTGGAATACTCTTGTACCAATTAAAACACTAATAGGTAGTGTTAATTGTTTTAAATTTTAGGGGCAACCGCTGGCTCAGTCAGTGGAGTATGGGAGTATTGGTCTCAGAGTGGAGGGTTTGGGCCCCATGTTGGGTGTAGAGATTACTTAAAGATAAAATCTCTCTTTTTTTAATGTTTATTTTGAGAGAGAGAAAGAGCGCATGTGTGCACGTGTGTGCACGTGCACACATGAGCAGGGGAGGGGCAGAGAAAGAGAGAGAGAATCGCAAGCAGATTCCATGCTGTCAGCACAGAGCCGGGTGTGGGGCTCGATCCCATAAACAGTGAGATCATGACCTGAACTGAAATCAAGAGTCAGATGATTAATTGACTGAGCCAAACAGACACCCCTTAAAGATAAAATCTTTAAGAAAAAATATTTTTTTGTTATTTGCTGATATATACATAAAATCTCTCTGTAAGGATCCAATCAAAATTAGTAATATGGTTATCTAAGGGGGGAAAACCTGGTGAACTGTTGGGCTAAAGGTCAGCAGTGGGAGTGACTTCCCTGTGTAGCCATTTAGTCTTTTTTTATTTTTGAACATTGTAAATATATTACTTAAAAAAATAAGTAAAAATATGTATATGACATGAGAAATAAATAGAAGATACTGGTTTCAAATGTAACCCTACCCATCACCCCCTCCCCCACAAATACATAACCCCTTGCAATTGAGTTTGATACTTTTCAGTTCTGTACTGCCATTACATCTTCATCACAGAACCTGTCTTTGAGGGTTGATTATTGTTTTACTTGACTTTCATCCTCCACTAGAATCTCCTTGAATATAATAAGTACAGTCTTATTTTTTTGAATTTATGTGGCCTGGCATATACAGAGAGCCGTATGTTTATGGGGAATAAATTGTAACTACCTTTCTGTCTTTCCTTTCCACGTAGACTTCCAAATACTTCTAATTTTTATGTTTCTCAGAATATTTAACATTATTATAGTTTCTGTTTTCTAATGGGAGATTATTTTCATTATCTTCCAGTATTCTGTCTCTATTAATAAAGTTTCTAATCATATATATGTTAATGGATTTTTTTAACTTAAATCTCTAGACTTCTATCTGTTAGCTTTGTTCTTTAAAAAAAAATTTTTTTTAACGTTTATTTATTTTTGGGAGACAGAGAGACATGGGGGAGGGGCAGAGAAAGAGGGAGAAACCGAATCTGAAGCAGGCTCCAGGCTCTGAGCCTGTCAGCACAGAGCCTGGGCTGGAAACCCACAAAGCATCAGGACGTCATGAATGGCTTGAGATTTTCAACTGACTGAGCACCCACCTGTAGTATGTCCCAGTTAGGTACGTTCGTTCTTAGATTGGTGGCTCTTAAATGTTGGTCTGCAGGCAGATGACACAGGACTTACTAAAAATATAGGTTGACAGGGCCCATCTCCCAACATGCTGTTTAATTGCATAGGATTCGTGGAAAGCTAGGGTTTTTTAACAAGCTCTTCAGATGGTTTTGTTTTAGAATCAGAATTAGAAACAGCTGCATTAAATATTCTGAGGAAATAGGGTATCAATTTTTGAAATATAAATAAATGAAGGGTATATGTTTAGCTTATCACACTTCGCCATGGAGGTAAAGAAAGAAGCCCTTCTCAAGCTCAACTTCTTGGAGAGTAAGTGATTTCATGAGTATGGAGCATTTACTGCTTTCTTTTCTTTTGTGTGCGTAGAGACTGCTGTGTGCAATTTATAGACCACTATGTTCTCTGAGCTTAATTTCTAGATAAAATAAAGGTCGATGTGAATATACAGCTAGGAGGGCATACTAACAATTTATAAAAGTCTTTGCATTGTATTAAAATGTATTCCTCTTTTCTAGCTTTGTTGACAGAATATCTGCTTTTTACTGCTGCAGAAAAGTAGACTCAATCCCTTGGAATATTTGTTTTGCTTTGTTTTGTTCCTTTTTCTTTTTAATGTGTATTTATTTATTGATAGATAGAGAGAGACACAATGGGGGGAGGGAGGGGTGAGTTATATGGGGAGAGAGAGAGGAGGGAGAGTAAGAGAGAGAGTATATAAGAGAGAGAGAGAGAGAGAGAGAGAGAGAGAGAGAGAGAGAGAGAGAGAAAGAGAAAGAGAGAGAGAAAGAGAGAGAATCCCAAATAGGCTCCATGCTGTCAGCGCAGAGCCTGACTTGGGGCTGGATCTCCTGAACCATGAGATCATCACCTGAGCCGAAATTGAGAATTGGACCCTTAACTGACTGAGCCGCCCAGCTGCCCCTGCTTTGTGTTGTTCCTAGCAGACTGTCAGTTTCCTATGAAAATTACCCATGGTAGGTAGATCATTAAGTTTGTGAAAGCTTTCACAAACTAGTTCCTCAACTGCAAGACCACAGAAAAACTTCAAAAGAACTTTATTTGATCCCAGTATATATTTAGAACACATTTAGCCTGAGGTAATATATTATATGAACACCTGAAGGCATTCACTGCAATAAATCAGTTTAATATACAAATTGATCCAAGGGTTTTTGAGTTCACATTGAAAAATTACTGGCTTTCCTGTGAAAATTTCAATTACAATTCATATTAACAAGAATTAATCAGTGTCCCACCAAACCATTACACTTATTAGGAATTAGTTAAAATGAATGCATTATTATGGCAGTAATTCAAGATCCTCTTTACCAGTGTTTTCTGAGAATTCTTTTCTTTTTTCCTAGTTAATTCATTGAAGGGAAAAGAGATGGGAACTAGGAAAAGAAATATGTCACAGATTTTTGTTAGCTTGCATGGTATAAAGCTGTTGATTGTGTTTGCTCACATTTAGATTTTTTTAATGATCATCTACTTCACTATAATTTCTTTAGGCTTCTAATACAGGCAGGCTATGATGTTAATATTAAAGATTATGATGGCTGGACACCTCTTCATGCTGCTGCTCACTGGGGTAAAGAAGAAGCATGTCGAATTTTAGTGGACAATCTGTGTGATATGGAGATGGTCAACAAAGTGGTAGGCCTTTTAAATATATTTTAAATATTTAACTTTTGGAAATAAGTGTTTTGGAAGTCTCAAAAATATTGCAATGTAAATTTTATAATTATATTAAGTTTTATGAACCATACAAAACAACATTTTATCAGCCATTTGTTGGTTTTTATTATTAATTAAGTGTTTCTCAGCTACCTACAAGGTGGTTTTGACCTTGTTCCTCAAAGAAAGAAGTATTACTCTTTGAGTAATCCTATTACCATATGCAATAGAGTAGATTTGGGTACTTCAGAATTCATAAATTAAGAAAATTTTGCTTTTCTCTGTGAATGTTTTCTCCCATCACTATGGGTTAGAACACATACAGAAGTATATTTCTATTTCTTTTTAGCTGGTGGTCTTGACAGCTTGCTTACAGTAGCTTTTTAAATGGCTCGGACAGTGAGGTCTTAAAGCAGGTGAGAATATAGAAAACCCATAAAGTTTTATTCCAGATAAAATTATTGAGATGTAACATGTAGTCTCCTAGTTTTGCAGGTGAGAAAACAGTTTATGAGGTAGAAGATTCACTTAATATCACCCAATTAGGTAGAGGGAAGGAAGGAGTGAATATCACAGAAGTGTTTTTTACAAATCATGAACTGATTCAGGTTGTCAGATTCCTTACTAGATTAGGGTTTTTTTTTTTTCTGTACTCCCTTCCAAGCACTGTCAGTTACCAGTGTCACCAGTATTCCTACTAGTTTTCCTCCTATTCATATTCATGATTCTTATCATATACCAACAGTTGCAGAGCTCAAGACACTTCCTCTAGTGAGCTTGATTACCTTTAGCTTCCATAGAATATCCTTTATATATTGCATTTTATAGGATAATGTGGTAGATTACTTAGCAGAGGTTCCTAAAACGATCTCCTCTTTATTCAGATGGTGCCATCTGATCTATTGTGTCCATTAACATAAGTGCTGGTGCTGATTACATTCTGATAACAGCAGTTTCTACTTGGGAATCTGCAAAGGGAAGAGAGCAAAAATGATAACCATATGCCCAAGATTTCCCCATGGCTAAGTGTTTGGAAGTTGAGGTAGTTAGTGGAAATTCATGTTCTAGTTGCTGACATAAAGTGATAAAGAAGCCCTCTGAACTCCTTTCATATATATGTACTTATATATGTATTTTATATATGTATTTAGATATGTGCTTTCCACATATGTATTTATATGTACTTATATGTGCTTATAAATGTATTTTCATATATGTACCTGTAAATGTATTTTAAGTAAGAAATGTGCAGGCAAGAAAGTCCTAGGAAGTGGTGAAAATCTTCAGGGAAGTCAAGAGAAAAAATGTTTGAGAGCATAAGTATAGTTTTGCTTTTATACATAAGTATAAAAGTCTTCTATCTGAATTTTTAGTCAAAACTTTGATAATTTGCCCTTTTTTATTTATAACAGTTTTCCGTTTTGTTATCAGCATTAGAAGACAAGTAAATGTTGATACTATTTAATTTTAAGTATAAAAGGCCAGCCAATTTTAGTTTGACAATTCATATTTCCTCTCCTTCCATGTAGAAATTCCCCTAGCAGTTGGGATTTTTCTGAAGAAATTAGTAAATATCTCTTATCTTCTAATCTCTTTTCTGCATTCCTGTCTCTCTCCCAAACAATGTCTCTTAAAGGCCACTTGTCCACTGACATGGGCAGTGCTGATAATTGGTTCATTCATTGATAGTGGCCTCCAGATAAGGACCAGGAGAGAGAAGCTTATTAATGGAAAGGTTTTCTGAGAACATTGTATCATTTTCTAGTTTAAATACGTTATTTTTTGGTAGTGATACATAGACAATATATATAGTATGTATGAAAAAAGTTATTTTATCTTGCATCTGTTCTATAAGTGTCTAATTCCTGTGCCCTCAGTTTATCATAATTATGCTCTAGGAGAAAGACTGCATATAAATCATTTTGCTTTATCTCTTTTTGTTTCTATGTTACTATAGTAACGATTTCTTTTTTTTCTTTAAGTTTTTTTTTTTTTAATTTATTTATGAGAGAGGAAGAAAGAGCACAGGCGGGGGAGGGGCACAGAGAGGGGTACAGAGGATCCGAAGCAGGCTCCTTGCAGGCAGCAGAGAGCCTGACATGACGCTTAACTCACAATCCATGAGATCATGACCTGAGCCAAAGGCAGACGCTTAACCAACTGAGCAATCCAGGCGCCCCAATATGATAGCACTTTCATCCTGGATTTTAATGTATTATCCCCTCATTTCATCTTTTCAGTGTATCTTTATATGATCTTAAAAGAATTAACGCTTCATAATTTCTTAGAGTTTTATAATTTTAAACTTGTTTTCACATATATCATTATCTAATGCTATCCTTTTAAACAACCCTATAAAGTTATCTGAGTTATGCAGATTTGAGAACATGATCAGAGAAGTTGAGTATTTTCCTAAAGCCCTAATAATTAAGTGTAATTAAGAATAATTTACCTGCTGTGTTTCTCTGCAGTTTTTACTTAGTTTTTTTATTTCTCATGCTTTATTTTTCCAGATACTAACTCAAGAGTTGTAAAAACAGGATTTTAAAATTTTTATCAAAATTGGATTTTTCTTTTAAAATATCAAGCTTTTAAAGACTTCTTTTGATAGTGAGGAGCTACCTAATATATACAGCATTTTAAAGACCTTTATGCCATAAGTATACCCAAATGTAAGCTTTTTGTGGGGTGGGAAGGGAGATTATATTCTACAGTAATGGAAGTTATTTTTACAAGACTTAATTTTTTTTATTTTAATTTTATAATTTTGCCTGTGTGAGTTAGGCTCTCTCTGTTATCACTGGCTACATTTATTTATTTATTTATTTATTTTTTAATTTTTTTTTTCAACGTTTTTTATTTATTTTTGGGACAGAGAGAGACAGAGCATGAACGGGGGAGGGGCAGAGAGAGAGGGAGACACAGAATCGGAAACAGGCTCCAGGCTCCGAGCCATCAGCCCAGAGCCTGATGCGGGGCTCGAACTCACGGACCGCGAGATCGTGACCTGGCTGAAGTCGGACGCTTAACCGACTGCGCCACCCAGGCACCCCTACATTTTTTAAAACTATGTCATATTTCATGTTTAATCAAAATTAGTCTTTATTGTGTAATCCTGCTTAAATGAATTTATCTTGTCATTTGATACCTTTTTCAGTACTTATAGATTGAAGATTTTTAGTAGATTTCTTAAAATGATATCAGAGAAATGTAAATATATTTTTACAACTAAACTTTAGAGCTTAGATGAATTCTTTTTTTTTTTTTAATTTTTTTTTTAATGTTTATTCATTTTTGAGACAGGGAGAGACAGAGCATGAACGGGGGAGGGTCAGAGAGAGAGGGAGATGGTTGCACCTGAACAGGCTCCAGGCTCTGAGTCAGCCAGCCCAGAGCCTCGGAGCGCGGGCTTGAACTCACGGACCGCGAGATCATGACCTGAGCCGAAGTCGGACGCTTAACCGACTGAGCCACCCAGGCGCCCCAGAGTTTAGATGAATTCTTTACTAATAGAAAATAAAATTTTGGTAAATGTGTAATGTAGAAAATGCAACAAATCAAGGCACCTGGATGGCTCAATTTGGCTCAGGTCATGATCTCGTGGTTTGAGTCCAGCATCAGGCTCTGTGCTGAGAGCTCAGAGCCTGGAGCCCACTCCAGATTCTGTGTCTCCCTCTCTTTCTCTGCTCCTCCCCTACTCACACACGCCTCTCTGTCTCTCTCTCTGTCTCTCTCTCTCTCTCTCTCTCTCTCAAAAAAAAGAAACATTAAAAAACTTTAAAAAATGCAACAAACCATATAGAAAATTTGAAAGTCTTTCTACATAAAAGTGGGAGACATGTTCTTATTTTTTTTTTTAATTTTTTTTTTCAACGTTTTATTTATTTTTGGGACAGAGAGAGACAGAGCATGAACGGGGGAGGGGCAGAGAGAGAGGGAGACACAGAATCGGAAACAGGCTCCAGGCTCTGAGCCATCAGCCCAGAGCCCAATGCGGGGCTCGAACTCACGGACCGTGAGATCGTGACCTGGCTGAAGTCGGACACTTAACCGACTGCGCCACCCAGGCGCCCCAAGGGAGACATGTTCTTAAATAGAGAGTTTGGTCTGGTTTCTTTAACTTATTTGTAAAGACATTTCCTCTCATTTTAACTCATAAATTATGTCTTTATATTTAAAGATTTTAAATATACAGACTTTATAAATATAAAGATTTTTCTTTTGCTTCCTTAATGTTTTAAAATAATTATTTTACTAGAATGTACCCAAATATTGTCCCTTTTGAAATATTAACTAAGATGTTTTTCTAATTGGAATTTTCTCTTTATGCAATTTTACAATGATTTGTAGACAGTTTTTTTGTTTGTTTGTTTGTTTTGTTTTGATAGCTGTCATCATAAAGATTTAAATGAATAACAAAACTGCTTCTGCTGTTAATGGACACAAGGATTTTTTTCCCGAGTTTATCTGAGCTTATTCTTATTTTCTGTAAAGACAATGGAGCAGTAGAGACTGAGATTCTGTTCCCACTTTCCCTTCATTACCTGCGTGAGCTTGAGCAAATACCATATACTCACAGTCTAGGTTTCCTCATCTGTACAGTTGGAGCCATAAAGCTCGTCCTGACTACTTCACTGATTGTTGTGAAAATGAAGAGAGATCACACTTGCAGAAGTAATTCAGTTAGAATAAGTGAGGAAAGAATGAAGAGTCCTGAAAATTAGACTTAAACAGTGGCTCTAGTGTGACTCTGGTAATTTACAGATGTATTACAAACTGATTTATTAAGTAGTAGTTTTTTTTAAGATTGTTTTCTTGATTGAGTCTTACTTTTTCATACGTCATCATTATGCTGTCTTCAGTTGCTTCTTGGTTACTTTGAGTGATTCTGCTTATGTGTGCTACTGTTAGTTAGCACCCCGTTAATGAAGCATAGATCCAGGTCATGTTTATAACTTTACAATTGGATAGCTTCATAACTGTCCTATATATTATTTAATGAGCATGGTTAAGTTGAGGGGTGTGCTTTTCTGAAATTAGAAACTTTTCTCTGTTTATAGCCTGCATTTTACTCCAGTTTTTATTCTCTATCAGCTGCTGTTTGCAAAGTAGACTCATTTATCAAGGGAGAAAGTGAAAAGAAAGGTTAGTAAGGTGATCCAATTTCTTATTCTTATAAAGGAAAATTCCTCAGTTACTAAAATAACCCCATTGCATTTAACTGCTGCTAAAATTTAATTGCAATTCAAAAAAATTTTTAAGGTGCAGTATTTCATTCATGAGAAGGGTTGATACATACTTAAAACGATACTTAAAAAAGAAGCCACTGTGTTACTTTCACCCAACATGATCTTGAAAACAATTTGCTTAAGAAGCATAGCATGTGTAACATTGTAGAACTATGTAGAACAAAGAAACTGTGATATAGCAAAATGGATTAACGTGTCTGTATTTCATATCTAAAGGGCACCTTCAAAATTTGAGCCACTTTGTTTCGGAGCCATTTATTCTTCAGGACTTTAATTCTTAGCATTTAATACTCAAGGTTGAAAGCGGGGGAGTGGGGGAAGATTTATCAAAGCTAAATCTGTCTCCTGGACTGAGTGGGGAAAGGCTAGATTGCCTCTTAAATTCCTGCTGGGAAGACTTTGCAACAAGAAAAGGCAGATATACAAGTGTTTTTGAACCCTGTAAATTTTAAATACATATATTGCTGTATCTTGATAAAGTAGCATTTCATGTACTTTTATGATATACTTCATAGACCGTATTTTTTATTTTATAAACAGATCATGGAAAACCAGCTCAGATATTGGGTAGCTTAATACTTCATTTTATAGTGCCAGAAAATGTAATTCCTATCCAAGTAGGTGGCAACATCCTAATGTTGTTACAGAATTGAAGGTTGTACGTTTGTTTTTTAATGGAAGAGTTTATGTAATTTTAGAACTTATTATCTACCAATCTGGTTTTGTTGTAGCTGTGAGACCCCTGATATGAAAGAAATTTCAGTTGCCTTTCAGAATGATATATTTTCTAGTTGAAAAAAAAAGTTGAATTTTCTTCTGAGAAAGGATCATATATTGGCCAACATATAAAGTAGAATGTATTCTAAATAATGAACTTTTTTGACATTCTAGAAACCTATCCCATTCAGTTATTATTATAAGGACAGATGTAGTCAACTGGAGAAAACCTTACTATGTTTGGTCAACAGCTCTTTGAAATTTTCTTTTCCACAGTGAATAAAAATAGATTGACATATGTTCATCTGAACTAATTTTGAAACTAAGTCATACCTGTGGCTGGCTGAACTTTAAGCAGTTTAGAAATATATGTATATATATACATATATATATATGTGTGTATATATATATATACATATATATATATGTGTGTATATATATATATGTATATATATATATTTTGTTACTGTAGCAAGACTTTAATTTTTATGGAGGTATCTAAAAGAAAAAAAGCCTCGAAGGGTTAAATGTGGAATTACCACATGCCCCAGTAATTTCACTTATAGCTCTATCCCCAAGAAAATGAAAACATATGTTCACTCAAAAATTTGTACACATATATTCATAGAAGTATTACTTGCTAAACAGCAGAAAGCAAAAGCAAATGTCTATCAGCTGATGAATAGATTAGCAAATGTGGTATGCCGTGCAATGGAATATTATTCAGCAATAAAAAGGACTGAAGTAGTAAGTACTACATGCAGCACATGGATGAAACTTGAAAACATACAATGTGAAAGAAGTCAGTCACAAATGATTTTTTGTGTGAGTCCATTAATATGAAATGTTCAGTACAGGCAAATCTGTAGTAACAGAATTAGTGATTGCCGTGGGCTGGAAGGCTGGGAAGAGGGATGAGAAAAGTAAGGAGGTCATTTCAGGATGATGAAAATATTCTAAAATTGATTATGGTGAAGGATGTAACATTCTGTGAATGCTAAAAACAGTTGAATTTTACACTTTAAATGACTGTATGGTGAGTCATATCTCAGTAAAGCTGTTACCAAAAGTAAGGGGTGGTGTATCAGCTGCTTTTCTCTCACATGGGTTTCTCATACATCTCTGTTAAGTCATATGCTGTTGTATTACTACATACATAACAAACTACATATGTAACAAATGTTTTCTAACTTTTCTGTATAATTATACAGAGTCAACCAGAGGTGTTTTATAGTTTGTTGACTTTTTACCATTACCAATCCTCTTTGTTTCCTACTTAGGGCCAGACAGCATTTGATGTAGCAGATGAAGATATTTTAGGATATTTGGAAGAGTTGCAAAAGAAACAAAATCTGGTATGTTTGATGAATATCTAAATATTATCTCTATTAGTGAATTCTTCTAATTAGAATTCTTCTAAAGCCTTAACTTTCAGACAGTTAAAGTATTTTTGTGATGTTTTATGCTTTTGGTTTAAGTTAGTCCTGTCAGTCAAACTAAATGACAGTGAAAAAGAGTAAAGGAATAGTGGTAGTGTTCAGTCTTTTGTATTGCTTATTCCCATTTCTCTTATCTCCCTTTCACAAAATGAATACTTCTGTAATGTATCTACTCAAGATAACATGTTTTTGTAATTTCATAACAAAGTTTGCTTAGAAGAAAATCTCAGATCTCTAAAATAGGCCCTAGATATTGAAGAAGTTATGTAAGTAGGAAACATTTTTAAGTAAAATATCATCAGGCATATTAAGTGGCTGATGGAGCCTGACTTTTTCAGTGATCTAACAGTGGAGAGATCTAAAAAATTCAACTTTGTTCTTCACGTAGCTTTTTAACTATCTAGTCCTTTTTATTCTTTATCCAAGCTGCCTTCCCTCCCCTCCTTTTTTTCCAGTTAAAACTTAAATCTTTTATTTGTTTTGGGTTTGTTTCATGTTTGAAAAACTACTTTATTTTAAATTCTGTATTTTACTCATTAATACCATTTTAATACTATTCTTATTTTCCTTTGCATAACTTTTATAAAGCTCCATAGTGAAAAACGGGAGAAGAAATCTCCATTAATTGAATCAACAGCCAATATGGACAATAATCAGTCACAGAAGACCTTTAAAAAGTAAGTAAAATATTAAAGTCACTTTTGTTAATGTCATGAATGAATTGGCATCATGGCCATGAACGTGATTATTAGACTTTGTGGATCTGAGAAAAATTAACGTATTTAGCTTTTTGTGTTTATACTCATTTGAAAGCTATTTTCTTTGCACAGCAAAGAGACATTGATTATTGAGCCAGAGAAAAATGCATCCCGTATTGAATCTTTGGAACAAGAAAAAGTTGATGATGAAGAAGAAGGAAAGAAAGATGAGTCTAGCTGCTCTAGTGAAGAAGATGAGGAAGACGACTCAGAATCAGAAGCTGAAACAGGTAAAATTTGAAGCATAACTGGATTTTCCATGAATTTTGATGCACTGTAAAGTAAGGTAAGATCAGGCTTTAATTTTGTAGCTTTTCTGATTGACTTGCTACTTGTTCAGATACCTGAGAAGCCAGTAAATTACCTTTCAGGGAGTGTTAAAAACTTGAGTATGGTTGTGAATTTATTGTCTAATGACCTGGAGGCCCTTACTCGCCTCTATGTTTTGTTTTGTTTTTTTGCTGACCTGTATTTTTAGATTTGAAGAAGGTGAAGATTTCCTTAGGATGGTGCAGGTAGAGTGTAAATGGGTTCCCAACAATTAACTAATGCTCCTGATACTTTTCTGAGGCTCAAAGGTCCAGAAAGCTGGTCCTGATATCTTCCCAAATATTCCCTAAACAAGAGTAAAGTTTTAGAAAGCTGAGACTGAATCAAGATAGTTTCCTATGGGATGTGGGGAGATTTGCTTTGTTTAGAGAAATTTTGAAGATACAGGAAAGTATACCTTCATATTCCAACTACCAAGAATGAACAGCTATTGACTGTTATATTTGCTTCAAATTTTTCTTTTAATAAAATTTAAAAAGTTACAGTTGTCTTTAACCAGGAGCCCTAATCTACTTCCCTTTCCTTTCTTTCCAAAGTCAGTCACTATCTTCAGTATTTTCATTTTATCTTCCAGTCTATTTTTACACACTGACACATTCAGAAGTAATTACCAGATGTTTTATAATAATAAATAATAACTTACTCTGCATCAGCTAATCACTCAAATCTTCTGAGCACCATGAAATTCCAGTATTGCCATATTTGAGTTGTATAACCTGCCGTTTTAACATGTAAATTTATCACACACAAAATATTCCATTTCCATTAAGATGTTTTGGTCAAAGAAAAAATTATCGGGGCGCCTGGGTGGCTTAGTCGGTTAAGTGTCCAACTTCGGCTCAGGTCATGATGTTGCGGTTGGTGAGTTCGAGCCCCGCGTCAGGCTCTGTGCTTGCAGCTCAGAGCCTGGAACCTGCTTCAGAGTCTGTGTCTCCCCCCTCTCTGCCCCTCCATGCTCATGCTCTGTCTCTCTCTGTCTCTGAATAATAAATAAACGTTTAAAAAAAAAAAAAACAGGAAGAATTATCATTATCAGGACCTAATGGTCATCATCGGTAAATACAAATTAAAGCCCTAAAATTTCTTGGGTTCCTTATATTTCCTCTAGACAAAATAACAGTTTTAGATCATTTTATTTTTACTCACTGAGCAAAATATTTCCTCTGAGAAAATGTGGGAAGCTAAAGTTTACTAAATAAACACATGTCAAAGAAGATACTGATTACCTTTGTCTCATTAAAAGCAAAATGTTGCAGGGCACCTGGGTGGCTCAGTCGGTTAAGCCACTGACTGGCTCAGGTCATGATCTCCCAGTCTGTGGGTTCGAGCCCTGCATCTAGCTCTGTGCTGACAGCTCAAAGCCTGGAGCCTGCTTCAGATTCTGTGCCTCCCTCTCTCTCTGCACCTCCTCTGCTTGTGCTCTGTCTCTCCGTCTCCGTCTCCGTCTCTGTCTCTCTCTCTGAAAAAAAATAAACACTAAAAAAATTAAAAAACAAAAAACCAAAATGTTGCTAAGCAGATAAAGGCCAGCTTTGTCGCCAGGTAGTGTGTGTGTCTTATTTATTTAGTTATTTTTAATGTTTATTTTTGAGAGAGAGAGAGAGACACACACACACAAAATGCAATCAGGGGAGGGGCAGAGAGAAAGGGAAATAACAGAATCTGAAGCAGGTTCCAAGTTGTCAGCACAGATCCTGACGAGGGGCTCAAACTCACAAATCGAGAAATCATGACCTGAGCTGAAGTCAGACACTTAACCAACTGAGCCATACAGGTGCTCCATTTGTTTGTTTTAAATTCCTTTTTTTTGAAATTTACTAATCCTATAGGAAAATTATTTTTTGGTAATACACAAAGAGTTTTTTAGTTATATAAATGGCTAGATTCTATTCCCGAGGTATATAATTTTTAAATTTATTGCTGTCATATGGCTGGTCAGGTGAGTCAGCATATCTTTTGCCTTGGTGACAGTCTGGGTAAAATTGGAAACTAAAGCAACAGGTAATCACTGAATATTATAATTCATTTTTATAACCTGCTAATTAAAATGTTTCTAATTATAAAAGTAAATTATATGAGAATGGGCATGCACAGTGTTTAAGAACACAGGCTGATTCATGAGTGTAATTGTATTTGTGGTTAACTTATTTAATCATAGATTTCTCCATAAAAATAGGAAAATAATACTTTATATGGATACTCTATAAGAGTGCTTCATAATAAATGCTAGCTTTGCATAATAATTTTATAAAATTCAACTCTACTAGTTTAAATATGATCAATATAAATGCTTACTTAATACCATTTCAGTTAAATTTGTTCTGTTTCCCTTATTTTATGAAAACTAGGAAATGAAATGACAGCATTGATATTTAAATTCACTCAGATATTTCACAAGTTTTAAAGTTATTTTTATACGGTTAATCTACCCCCTTTGAGATCTGCTTTGGCCCCCAATGTAGTAAAATTCGTCATTACAAAACTAAGTATATGTACATATGCACAAGAAAACTAGAACTAGCACGCAGATCTTTTAAGTAATGTGTGAGGTCTATTACTACTTACATAATAGAATTCAAGAATCCAAGCATCTCACAGGAATTTCTGCGGTTTTGTTATCTAATGCATTCTTAATTGGCCCCTTCTATACAATTTACTGTTCCGTGTTGGACATTGGAGAACTATTTAAAACAAACAAGACTTCAGATTTAGGCCAGTCTTGCCATTAACAAGCAAGTCTGACCTCTTTTGGTTGAAATTTTCTTTCTTGTAAAATAAGAATTAGACCAGATGATCCGGATAGTTCTTTAAACTGTACTATTTTGTAACTATAAATAGAACTAATTGCCATCAAATTGCATTGTATTCTACGTTTGGAGTTTAAGCATACCAATCACTCTCTGCTCAGTTTCTCACTGAACTAACTTTAAATATCCCTCTGAAGTATTGTATTATCATAATTTTGTTCTTCCTGTTGCTAGTGGTTGGTTGTGCCAGGAAAATTTGACTCTATCTCAAGAATTAATCCTTGTAAATGCTGTATGGTTTGCTCTGTCTCACTCTTTTAATATCAACAAGGTTTTATCATACTTTATTTGGCAAGCTTCAGAAAGCAGTCATTTCCCTGTAGAGCTACAGCTTGATTTGACAATTTCTAAACTATTTCTTTTTCTACTTTTTTGTAAGGTTATTTCCTTGAGAAACTATTTGATGTAAAGTAACTATTTTGCTGAATTTTCTTTCATAAATTATTTACTGAGTTTGTTTTTTATGAGTGTTATTTTCCTCATAAATCAGCTGAAATTAGGAACTCAACCAAAAGTTTAATTTCCTTCCAAATGATTTGTAAATTTTAGAGGTAGTTGAGGGAATGAGGAGGGAAGCATATTTTTGCTTTCAGGTTGTTTGGTTTGTTTTCCTCTAGAACTTGACACTTTTATTCTTCAATGAAATCAAATTATAGAAGGACTTTAACAATATTAATAATATTAAGTTGGATGGTGGGCACTTGAGGTTTGTTTCATTATTATTCTTAAACGAAGGCTAAATGTTTACATACATGTATATACATTTTAACTTTCATGTGTAGATTTAACTAATCGGAAAGCAAATTTTTAAACCAAAAGAAAAAAGGAGAAAAAAATCATTGAATTTTTATCTTGTTTATTATTTATTCTTCCTACTAGACTGTAAGCTCTATGCAGTTAAGATACTTGGTTTTTTCATCAACTGATACATCCCTAGTACGTAGGACAGTAACTTAAGGACCCAGTACCTAGCACTTGAAATAGGGAAACATTTGATAAATATTTGTTGTGTTACTCTCCTGTTAGGTGGACTGTTTTCCAGGATGATGGTCTAATAGATTATGCATGATTTGTACTTAACTATGCCGAATAGGCTTGGCTTCTGTTGAATAAAGAGGTATTGTTTAGCATTGAGAATAAAGTTTATGAGACTGAGTTTAGCTCATTCACTTTATTCAAAAACCTAAGACTTTAGTGATTTTTAAATGTGTCACTTTAGTCTTGTCCTTTTTTGGTATAGTTTGAGATATGATGCTTTCACCCTATTAACCTCTTGTGGATATTTTCTTAGTCACAAATAGAATTGAATGAATCAATGCAAATCAGAACTATTTAGTGAAAGTTTATACTTGCCCTAAAGATAAGAATATTTTAATATTGTCTACTTATAAAGTGTAACAGCATAAAATAATGATAAGGTAGAAACTTATTTTGGAAAAGTGACCTAAAGGAGGAAGAGAGGTATAATGAAAATGAGTATCTCTTAGGGTTTTAAAGTATGTACTATACTTCTTCCCAAAAGTGTAGAATGCCACCTGTCCTCCCCCATTTTGAAACTAAAGAAATACTTTAAAACTAGATAAATGATCTTTGACCATTTGAAAAGTAAACCTTTCTGCCCCATTTATAAATTACTGTTAATTTATAGATTTAAATTTATAGGTAACTTTTTCAAATCCAGTCTGAATTTTTTCTAGCATCAGATTGATTTTCATTAAATTTTCAAAAATCTTTTTCTAAGTAATTCATTGTTAATTAGAAATTGTCTCAATACATTGTGAAAAGAGATTTAAATCTTAATTCAACTGATATTCTCATTTAAGTGTAGACTTTTTAGTGGTGAGCAGGCATGCTCCTTATGACACTTACGCATACTATTTGACAGGAGAATAAGCTGATTATTGACAAAAAGCAGTTTTTAAATTTCTTGGAATAAAGAGGAACTATGAGTTTTAAATAAGCAAGGTAAATTGTAGATGTATTAGAAAAATTGCATAGCTCTTGTAATCTTTTTACTTACACTTAATATTTTATGTACTTAATCTTTATACTTACACTGTATTCATGCATTCAACTTAATTTTTTTTTTATATTTTTAGTGTTAAAAGTACAAAAGTCAGATTCCGTTCTTGCTTTTTATTCTTAGAAGCTTTGTTGTTTGTCATCATGTTCTGTTATGTATTTCAGCATACATATTGAGGCATTTCTAGGAACTCCTTGAAAAATTCACTTGTTAAAAGGGATAAAAATGGTAAAAGACTTGAATTATCAAAACCTTAAGCAAAAATGAATATAAAATACTGTTTATCTAGACATTGAAGTAGTCCATACCAACTCTTGACTCCATGTTTTTTTGTGTTTTTGTGATAGATAAGACAAAACCTATGGCTTCTGTAACTAATGCCAATACATCTAGTACACAAGCAGCTCCTGTAGCTGTTACAACACCTGTGTCATCTGGTCAGGCCACACCTACGTCACCTATTAAAAAGGTAAGCCAAATTTTTGTTTGCTAAAAATACATCTATTCTGTTTAAGTACTAAAGTATTAAGACAATTCTTAAATTTGTATACTTTATTCCAAAAGTAAAGTTTAGAACAAGAATGTATTTTTCCTTTTTAATTTGACTTGAGATTTTCTTTGAACCATATTACATTCTTTTTTTTAATATAATTTTTAAAGTATTAGTTTGCACATAAAAACTAATGGCTTTGTATTTTTTATTTGTACTGAATTTTTGAGAAACATGGGTTTTGTATCCTTTATCCCTGTTGATAAGTAAAGGTACATTTTGTTAATTTCACATGTGTGTGAGTTAAGCACAAAAAATACTACCACAAGTCAAGGACAGAGCTAGAATCTAGATTTTCTTTTTTGTTTAGTTTTGTTTTTATTTAAATTCAAGTTAGTTAACATTCAGTACAGTATTGGTTTTAGGAATAGAACCCAGTGATTCATCACTTCCGTATAACACCCCGTGTGCATACCAACAAGTGCCCTCCTTAATGCCCATCATCGATTTAGCCCACCCCCCCCCCGCCCCGCACCTACCTCCCCTCCAACAACCCTCAGTTTGTTCTTTGTAGTTAAGAGTTTCTTATAGTTTGCCTCCCTCTGTTTTTATCTTAGTTTTCCTTCCCTTCCCCTTGTTCATCTTGTGTTTCTTTCTCTTTTTTTTATTTTTATTTTTTTTTTTTATGTTTATTCCTTTTTGAGAGAGCACAAGCAGGGAGGGACAGAGAGAGAGGGAGACACAGAATGTGAAGCAGGCTCCAGGCTCTGAGGTATCAGCACAGAGCCCAATGTGGGGCTCAAACTCTCGAACCTCGAGATCATGCCCTGAGCCAAGTCAGATGCTCAACCAACTGAGCCACCCAGGTGCCCCTCATCTGTTGTGTTTCTTACATGGAATCTAGATTTTCTAACTCTACAAAGCACTAGATTTGCAAGTATGGTATGCCATAAGAGCATGATCTCTGATGTCAGACAAAGCAGAGATCCACACCTGAACCCCTCTCCCCCTTTAGCAAGGTACTGTCTTCTTATCTGTCAGGGGAAAGAAAGACAAAACAAAAACAAAAGAGTAAGTGAGCATTGTAAGTGTTGGTGGAGAGAGAGCCTGGCTAGTGACAAAGTACTCCCACAATGTTAGTTTCATTTCTTCCTCTTCTCCTTTATTCTGTTCTCCACGTGGGCTCTGTCCTCTTGCTTCCTTTTCTCCACCAAACAGTGCTTTCCAACTAGTTTGTTGATATTTTTAAAGATTTTGCTTTTCCCTGCTACTCCAGAACCTGTACTTCATTTGACCCAAATTAAAGATTACAGGTTTTGTTTTATTTTGTGGGTGTTTTTTTTTTTTTGTTTTTGGTTTTTTTTTACCACTGCTTTCTCTTTTTAAAGGCTTCTCCCCACCAACCCTTACTTGTCTTTAATGAGCATATTCATTTCCCTCTCTGTTTACATACACACGCACACACATATGCACACACATACACACACTTTTTTGTGGAAACATTTAAGAATTGAGTGCAATCAATATAACACTTTACCCCTAAATACTTGAATATGTATCTCCTAAATACAAAAGCATTATCCTTCATTCCCATACTAAAATGATCCTATTTAAGATATTTAACTTTGATATAATACTCTGATCTGTGATCATTATATACAAACCATTATATACAAACCATTATATACAAACTATTTAAGATATTTAACTTTGATATAATACTCTGATCTGTGATCATTATATACAAACCATAGTGAAGATTTTTTCAGTTGTCCTCCTACTAATGTTTTTCTGTTTGTTTTTTCTTGAAATCAAGGGTCCACTGAGGGATTGTACATTGTATTTAACTGTCATGTCTGTGCCTTTGGACTTCTTATTTTGTTGCTTATCTGACATTATTTGGTTTGGGTGGGTTTGATTTTAAATTCCCATAGTGTTTCTATTATGTTGTCAGTATTGCTAATTTTGGATTTGGCTTCAAGTGATCAAAATGTGAACCCTTTAGAATAATAAACTAGAGAAAATCCATACCGCTAGTAATGATCCTCTTCTAAAACTCTTCCTAAGGAAATTAGTATTGTGGGTTCATAGTAGTAGAAATGCATGGATTTCACTGGTACAGTTTGAATATCAGGAAACTATATGAATGATTTATCTTACCTTCTGTATTCCAGAGCTGAGGGCTTCTTGAAATTAGGTAGAACTCATGTTCATAAGATCATAATTATATATGCTTAAAAGTGAAATTTTTCAGGGGCAATCTCTCTGCAGAATTTTCAAGATGATTATCATGGTATAACTGGAGTCAACATAGGCTGCTTTAACTAAACTTTATTTAATTCTAGAGTTCTTCTATACTTCTTCAGTAATTACCAAACTTTAGCTTTTTTGATTTATTATCTGTTAAAACTATAGGATTATCAGAAGTTTGCAAGAAGCTCCATCCCTCTGAAATATCTGGCCAAGAAAAACTGGCTCTCATTCTTTTGAGTATTTAGCTAAGCAGTCTCTTTCCTGCTATAGTCAAACAATTACAGTGGACTTCTTTCAATCAACTATATTTTTCTCAAGCATAGCCCCAAATTTTAATAACTTAATTGCTCTTAATATCCGTTAGATTAACCTCTTTGCTATAAAAATCCTTGTTCAGAATTACTTATGATTCTGTAATTAAACTGATATAATAACAAGTGTTTTCTGTGATTTGCATATTTAGAAACTCCACTTTATTCTCAATTTCAAGCACCATAACTTACTTGGAAGATTATATTGTTTCAGTCTTAAAACCTTAAGGGTTTTGTAGCCAAATTTTATTCAAATCAACAAAGTTGTGGTATACAGAAAATTTGAAGTATTATTTTAATGGATGGAGCAATCTTATTTATTTTGTATGACTTTTTAAAGCCTTTAATTTTGTTCAGTGATACTTTGTAATGTTAATTCAGCATTTTAATGTTTCTAAGTTAGTTTCAGGAATTTTCTTGTAACTTAGAGACCTAACAGATGAATTGCCTTAGATGAATTGTTAATCTGTAAATGCATTTTAAAAGATTTTGCAGTTAAGAATTCTATTTTTAGATTCTCACTCACTACTCTGCTTTTGATATTTGCACAGAGGTATGCTAAGTTTTGTTTTCTCCACCATTGCATAAACTATATATAAATACACACTCATACACTCATGGTAAGCAATAGATCACAAAACAGAAGCTCTAAAGCAGTATTAAATATCACTTATATTTTCTAACAACTCAGGGTGGCAGCTACAGAGAAACATAGATATATTCGCCTTAAATGATTTTCCCTTAAGTTCTTAACTCTTCAGCTAAAATTAAAGAATATTTCTGTAGCAGTAAGATCAGGCTTATGATTTGTGGAGATGTTTTCTATAATACCATCAGTTTGGTTTTATGATTTAAAATTTTAACAGTAGGGGTGCCTGGCTGGCTCAGTTGGGAGAGCATGTGACTCGATCTTGGGTTCATGAATTCAAACCCCACAATAGGTGTAGAGATTATTTTTAAAAATAAGTAATCTTTAAAAAATTGTTTAGTATTTTTATTTTTGAGAGAGAGTGTGAGTGGGGGAGGGATATAGAGGGAAGGGAGCAGGATCCAAAGCAGGCTCAGCACTGACAGCAGTGAGCCCAGTGTGGGCCCAAACCTATGAACTGTGAGATCCTGACCTGAGCCAAAGTCAGATGCTCAACCAACTGAGCCACTCAAGCATCTCTAATCTTTAAAATTGTAACAGTAATTTTATATACCCCTCTTTTGTCAAAATAAATATTTTTGGTTGGGGCTCCTATGTGTGTCTTGGTCAGTTAAGCATCCAACTGTTAATTTCGGCTCAGGTCGTGATCTCATGGTTCATGAGTTTGAGCCCTATATCGGGCTCCGTGCTGAGTATGGAGCCTGCTTGAGATTTTCTCTCTCTCTGTCTCTCTCCCCCGCCCTCCTCCCTGCTTGCGCTCCCTCTCTCTCTCTCTCTCTCTCTCTCTCTCTCTCTCTCTCTGTCTCTCTCTCTCAAAGTAAATAAAATAAAAAACTTAAAAAATAAATATTGTTTGGGATCTCAGAAAAAGATTGCCTACTTTGTTGTATGCACATAAATTCTGATAGGGTAAACTGTATTTACTTTACTAGATGGTAAAAATTCAGAATTTTCTTGGAATTAAATGCTTTGGTTAATTGAATCCAATTATTAAGTATAATAATAATTTAATAAAAAACTACTGTATACTGTGGTATATTGCAGTATGCCAGTAGAAGTGTACAAATACAGAATGATGGTTTAAAAATGAAAGAGATCATATTTGATTTGAGGTAATAAAATTACAACATTTGAGATCTTGAATGAGTAAGTAGTATTTCAACTAGCAGGAGAGTTTGTACAGTTTGCTGAAAGGAAAAAAAGAAACAATGTGAACAAAGTAGGGACAATGTAGAATCTTTTGCAGGAAAATAAATTGTTTAGTTTGATATCTAGAGTACATATACAAAGTAAAACAGGAATAGTAAAGCCAAATTGTGGAATGTCTTCATTTCTCTGGTAACATTTTTAGTTTGATGGATAGTAGAGAATCAGAAGATGTTTAAACAAGGCTGTGAAAGAATTATTCTTTATAGAATATAATTTTGGTAGCAACGTACAGGTGTATTTGAAGGTGAGAGACTAATTGAAAGACGATGTATTAGAAAATCATTGAAGTTGCCCAAGATGATAAAAAAAATAAACTAGAGAAGTGGCAGTTCTTAGAAGGAGAAGAGTTTCTCCTCAGAAGGAGAGGAGTTTCAGAGACTTGGCAGCTAATTTATAAATGAAGGACAATGACAGAGAAGAAGTCTAACATGGCTATGAAGTTTCAAACAGGGAATTGAAGAAATTTATTGGTGCTACTAACAGAATTAGGGAACTGAGGGAGAGCCAGTTTGGAAATATAGGTGTTTGATTGTAAGTATGTTGAGTTTCAGGTTCCAGTTGTAGTTCTAGATGGTCCATTCTCCAGGTAATTAGAAATTTAGGACTGGGAATTTAGGAATAAGACTCAACTAGAAATAATAAATTTGAAAATAAGCTGAGCACAGTTCATATTGAGCTTGAGGAAGTAGAAAAGACCCTGTTCCCAGCCCGCAGAAGAAAGTAGAAAGAGAAGATGAGAGATCTGAGAACAGGCTCTTGAAATGCTTGTGTTGCAGGACTGTGCTGACAAAAGCAACAAGGCCAAGAAGGAGGGTGGGCAAAGGAGTAAGAAAGTCAAAACAGTGTCCTGTTACAAAAGCCAAAAGAAGAGTTTCAGGGAATAGGTATAGTTGAATATTTCAGAGATACGCATTTACAGACCAAGTAAAATTGAAAGGTACTTTTAAACACATAAACCAATAAATCCAAATTCACACTAGGCAGAATGGGGGTAGATCAGTCATTACAGTGCAAGAAAAGTCCATTTTAAATTGCTAATACTGCTTCATTTTTCTCAACTGTAAAATAGCAGTATTAATAGTATTTCAGTGGGTGGTTGTAAGGATTAAACGAGATAACTCCTGTGAAGCACTTAGTTTAGGGACTGGCGGGAGTAAACATCTGTTAAATGTTAGCTTCTCTTGTAACACTCAGTAAATGTTACGTTATCTATTTTATCATGGAGGCGTAACTTTGTTTCCAGTTTTGGGGAGGTTCCAAGGCAGGGATTAGCAAACCGTAGTCGGGTGAAACTGGCCTATTACTTGTTTTTGTACAAGTTAGAATGGTTTTAATATTTTTTTAATTTATTTTGAGAGACGGAGTGCAAGCAGGGGAGGGGCATAGGGGGAGGGAGAGAGAGAATCCCAAGCAGGATCTGCACTGTCAGTGCAGAGTTCGATGCGGGGCTCAAACTCGGGAACTGTGAGATCTTGACCTGAGCCGAAATCAAGAGTCGGCTACTTAACTAACTGAGCCACCCAGGCACCCCTGGTTTTAATATATATTTAAAAAATTTTTCTAAATGTTTTTACTTATTTTTTTTTATTTTTTTTAACGTTTATTTATTTTTGAGACAGAGAGAGACAGAATATGAATGGGGGAGGGACAGAGAGAGAGGGAGACACAGAATGGGAAGCAGGCTCCAGGCTCTGAGCCATCAGCCCAGAGCCCGATGCGGGGCTCGAACTCACGGACTGCAATTTTGTGACTTGAGCTGAAGTCGTACGCTTAACCTACTGAGCCAC